TCCGTCGCGCACTTTCCTTTGATGTGGCCCCACCCCTTGCAGCGCGCACACCACGGCACGAAATCCTTCTCGTTGGTAGTGCAGCCGATCGCTTGATGTCCACGATGTCCACACCTAAAGCACCGGCCCGGGAACTTATAGTCCCTGCCACCGCCGCCATCGGCACCTCCACTGCTGCTTCCCTTGCTCTCGTCGACTCCTCCTGATCCGCCTGAGCTGCCGCCGCGACCGCCGCCGCCGCCGCCGCGACCGCCTCCGCCGCGGCCACGACTGCTGCTGCGGCCAGGGTCGCCGCCACGACCACGACCTTGCCCCTGACTCCTACTTGAGTACCGCTCCCTGCGGCCCTCACCGTCGGCGAAGTACGCTTGCTCTGCGCCCTTCGCCCCTTTCCTTTCCCCTGCTCCAGCTTGTCCTTGATCGCCTTGTATTCGATCATTACTTCCTTTAGCACACCGGTCCGCGTCAACTCCTTCGCGTGTTGCAGGTTGTGCTTTGTCATGGCATACTCGTCCGAAAGGGCATCCAGGAAGAGGTGAAGGACGAACGTTTCGTTGACAGTTTGTCCTTTCTCGGTTAAGGACTTTGCTGTTTGGAGCATCTCATTTAGGGCGTTTTGTGGGTTTTGACCTCTAGAGATCTTGGTCGACGTCAGGGACTTGAGGTCCTCTGACGGCTGTACAGATGGTTCAGGGTCGTGTGTGGTCTTGAGCTCACGAAGAGCTCTCTGGGGCGTCTCTGCCCTCTTCATGATTTTCCGATCTTTGTCTTTCAACGCGTGAGACAGGAAGTTGCACACGTGGAATGCGAGCTCTACTTGCTCGTTCCGGTACTGCTGCGACAGCGAAAACTTGCTCTTTCCGCTGTTGACGGGGATATTCAAGCTCCCGCTCTCTTCACATTGTTCCAACAGGTTTGCGCCATTAGCTGCCATGCGGAAATCATTTAGCCATTCGTTGAAATCTTTCGATTTCCCGCTGAACGGAAGAGAAGTGTACCGCACACTTTGGTACCCCGTCGCTGGGGTTGTGGCTCCGTATCCAAAGCCAACAGCAGCACCACCATCTCCCATGGCACTACTATAATCTTGGTTGTGAGCAGCGGCTACTCTCACCTCTTGGAGGACGAAGCCCCCTGCTTCGCCGCTGTGTCGCCCAGACGGGCCAGACTCTCGAACAGGTTCGCGCAGGTACCTCCCGTCCTGCGCACCCCCGGTCTACGGTGCCCCTCCTTCGGCGTTCGTGGACTCCGCGGCGGCGCTCTCCCTAGCATCGCCGCGATCAGCGGCACCCTCCATGGTGCCAGCTGGCTCCTCCTTCTTGCTTGCCTTCATGGTATCTTCCACTAGCGACATAAGCTGGCTCATCTGATCCATCAGCGAGCTAACTTGCGTCCTCAGGGCCACGAGCTCTTCTCTTGACCTCTTTCTGTCCTCCGCCGCAGAGTCGCCGGAGGAGTCACCCCCACCTTTGCGACCTGACATTCCTAATGGACTCTCTCTCGAGGGACTGACACTAGTGTGTTCGTATATGTCCTTTACTTGGAAGGGGAAGACGTTTTATCTCTTGTATTAGACACGCAAGGGGAGTAGGGAGAAGTGAAGCCCTCTTTAGAGTACGAGGGGTCCCCGCACGTGCAACCATTTCAGGGTGTACATATGCCCCATCTGCGTGCCCTTCGTTGTTGCCGGTAGATCTAACCAGTCCGTATCCAAGCACACGAACACAGCTTTTGACATTAGCGTTACCTTCCTGGCTAAACCATTCTGACAACGAAGAAAACACGTTCGGAGCTACGGTCGCTCGGACGACAACGACGAGTCATTTTCGCGAGATGTTTAGTTGAAGTATCGTAAGATTTTTTTCGCAACATACATACTTCTTCACGTCTCGGTGACCTCATGACCCACAACATCTACGTACTTGTAAACGTTGCTATTTCCATCTCATCGCGCCCTCGCTTGCGTGTCCCTTCATGAACCTCACTTTCTCTGCAGATCCTGACGGTGTGGTCGACGCTGTATTGGCTGAGCAGAGCGACTCGCTCAAGTTGTTGCGCTCCGGCGGAACGATCAAGAACTTCGACCTCCCAATGGAATGATGGCTCCACACGTCGATCCCGCCAGCGCCTTTGTCTCCCTCTTCGGGCGCGACCGCGGACGGAGTGGGCAACCCACCCTCTCGGGTGAACGGGGTATCTGAGCCCTCTAAGAGGAGGGCCCCAAACCCTGTGCGTCCAACGTCGCTAGCAGCACCCAGCGTCGGCGACATCGCATTCTTCAACGCACTGGGGGAAATACGGAGCATAGCTGCAGACGCCTCGCCGGTGAACGTCAACATCCACTGGTATGGGCCTATCAACAATACCGTTAGGGCGGGAGCGGGCAGCGCGACTGTCGAGGACTACGCCGTGGCGCGTTTCAGCAAGGATTTCATCCTAACGAGCGGCGCGAAGCGCAGAACGCCCGATGCCAGCGACGAGCCTATCACACGCAATATTATCGCATGTTGCTGTTCGCTAACGGCAACGGGCAACATCCCGGCGAGTGCTGATGGAGACTCCCCGGCCTGCACCTTCGTCGTCCTCGGAGAGCGAAGCAAGTGACTCGGACAACGACGGGTCTGAAGAGTCGGCCGTGGAAGCGGACTCTGAGGAAGACGAGTCCGATGACGACGGCTGGCTATGGTTCAGAGTAGTATTGGCGCCTAGCAGGGACTAGGTTGATGTCGAGACGGGGGCGTTCTGGGGATGAAAAAGATTTGTACAAGCGGTTTTAGCGCCGTACGATGGTCGACACTTGTCAGTCAAAGTCGAGCGTTGTACCCAAACGTTGTCGTAGGGGCTGTGGGTTTTTCCATCATAGTAACATAACCCTCGAAGTGCCGTGTGCTCGGATTTTTTTTGTTTGCTATTAGACTATTGTGCGTCAGGGTATCTATCTCGCTGCACATGTTCCGGGCAATTGGGAACTTCCCGGAAAACATGTGTAAGAACTCCTATTAATAAGAAGTCTGTGTCTGCCCGGGGGGTAGGGGGGGGGGG